GGGGCCGGCGCGGGGGCGGCGGCACGGGCAGGAGGGGACGTACGGACCGGTTCTGCCTCCTGCTGCTGATGATGAAATGAGCGAAACAAAACAAAAGGCAAATCATATACAAGATGTCAAGTGCAAACTAAAAGTTAAGATAGATGAAATTGTAACAAAAGAGAAAGTAATGTTTAATGTTTAAGTAGTTTAATGACGAATTAAATAGATGGTAGTTCAATGACATGAAGTTACTGGAGATTACATGGGGATGGTTTTGAATGTTTGTATTTTCTCTTACGATATTCTGATTTTGTCATCAAAGCATGATGCTTTTTAAAGTAGCAACTAATGCAATGTAGCTTTGCTACAGCTCACGTATTTAGCCCAGCATCCTTACTCTTCTCCACAAATATATAACACATGTGATGTGAGCGTATTGATTAAATAATCCAGGTAAAACGAGGACAGATCCCCAGACTCACCGACTGGCCCCAGCTGTGCTTCAGCTTCTGCGGCGGCGCTCCTGACGGCCTGGAGGGCGGGGCGACGCTGGTCGACCCCTGCTCGAACACGGCCCTCGGGTTAAACGTACCTCGCTGGGACACCAGCTGGGCTGCCTCCTGCGGGGGAAATCACACAGTCTATCAATGCAAGAAATCCTCGACCATTGACTGAATCCGTCAACTAACCAGCCACAGGGTTTTTCTGCAGAAGCGTGAAGCCTGCAGCAAAATTTTTCACCAGGAACAATTCTTAGTCAGATTGTTCAATTTCCTGCACCTCAAGTTGCTTGGAGAAAGTCTGCAGCAAGTTGCAATATCCTGACTATAATTACTAGTACATGTATTACGTTAACCCTAACAGATACATCTTATGGCATGAACAGTACCGATACAACTACTAGTAGATGACATGGACCAAATCTGAAGCTATGGATGTTGCCATAGAACTTTTGTTAGTCTGATAAGCAAGATCAATACCTCAGAACCCCATGGAACAAGCCAGGGTAAGTCCTACAAGCATGGACAATACCAAGGATCCTGTAGTGAAAAGGTTAATCCTAGACTGGCTAGAGGCCAAGACAATACCTGACAGATCCATGCATACTGCAGTGTATATTCTATGAGGTTAAATCTCACAGGCAGGAATAGGCAAGACATTCATTTTATACTAAATTATAGCATGAGACAAATTAAGTACATTGTGCTACTAGTAATATACTACTAAGCTGGTGTGTAACGCCGAAGGGCAGTTATACCGGCTATAGCGATACAGATACTACTACCGGTAGCACTGTAAATATTAAATTCTGAATCAACTAGTCAGGAAGGCTGCTGTTAGAGTTAGTCTTGAGTTATGATGACTAGTTCCTGGTGAAAGACGACCACCAACCAGAGCAGTG